CAATCTGATAAAAACCACTCAAATTAACTGCATGATGCGTGGATATTGTTTTGAGAAGCCCTTGAAAAATCAAGAGAGGAACAGGTAAGCTGTAAACTATAAAAATATCAATAAATGTTTCGTGAAAATTAAATTACAATAATATGTCTGCTCGATTTATGTTAAATATTTGAAACCAATAACATGAAAATACTATTTCTTATATGAATGAGTACCAATAAGTAGATATGACATTTATACTTCATTGTGTGCATAACTATTACTCAATGGATTTCCTAGAAGAAAACTCGCAATGAAACAGTAGTTAAGAAATGGATAATTTCCCAGATTTTTCTGCTCATTGACTACTTCATTCTGAGGCTCCATTAAATGTTTTTAATTTCTAGTTATTCCAAAAACTATGTCAGTTGGACAAAGTTTGGTATTAGCTATTTAAAATATTAATGTATGTATATTTATAATCTTTTTCAATAAAGAACTCACAAGCAATTTATTTTCTAATATTTGGCAATAATTTTATATATTGTTGATTTTTCCACCTTACAGTTCAACTGTAACCATCCTTCAACGGATGCCACTTAAAACAAAATGTATTGGTGGCTTTACCTCATTGGTGGAGCTCATAATCTTATTTAAATATACAATACAAAGAGGCACTTATGACAATACTCGAGCTAAATAAACCTGTAATCCGATCATAAATCATTTCTGCATATCCTACTGAGACCTACCATATAATCAACTTTTTGTACCGAAATAAAGTATGACCCTGTATATGGACTTATACTATATGAACAACAATTATTTATTATTTTTTTGACAATTTCAACATTTTGTTGATTTAACTTATATATTCAACCCCGATCACCCTGTAAGTACGAATTTTTTTCCCTTTGCAAATAGTACAAGGGGTATATTCTTAATCTAAAACAGTATGTCAAAATATTTAATATAAGATATTTCTCTTGAAAATATACTTATGCCAGTATATATTTATTGTTTAAAATTCATATATTTGGTACATATTAAGTTATATTTGGAAAACTAGTCATAGGATCTAATTTTACCAATGAGAATTTTGAACGAGTACATCAAGTACTATACGATATCAAATATTGAGAGACTTTGACGGTGATATATTTTTTTTCGGTATTTTAGCTATTTTTGTTCGGTGGGAATACCTACTTTGACCAAAAAAGATTTGCCGAATCATTATTCACCCTGTAAGGTACAATATTTTAATTATAGTAGTTAAGTATGTATTTTGACTACACAGAATGAGCAAAAAACTTCCAAAAATATTTATGGGTGATTTATCGTGTCCATTTTAAAGAACTAGGGATTTCTAACTTCAACACCCTGTATCTCAAAATCTAGTCTTAGGATACGATTGGGCCCATGGACACTTTTGATGGGGACATCAAGTTATTTAACATCAGACATTTTGACGGTACTCTCGTTTGCATAAAAAAAGTGCGTGGTCCTTTGATAACTATGATACCAGCTATACCATTGAATTTTAGATGGTCAAAAATCGGCGTAACATCTGATATTGCGAAAGCATTTATGCAGATACAACTACAGAAAAGAGATTATGTGATTAGGCTAAACGAGGCTCGTCAATATTTTTCAGACTCATCTGTATAGGTGTCAGTTGACACAAATGTACTTATGCTACCCTCTACGATATTTTTTATTTCTCTGCTTACCTATAGAAGTGAAACCATCACTGTCATACACCTTCTGGTCAGTGTTGATTACTACTTCTTCTGCTACTTCTTCATTTGATTAGAGAACTGAATTGTATATATAATAAATTAAACGATGCTTAGCACAAGATGCTTGACAACTATGCCTGTTATCGACGTTAATTTGAATTTTATTTTATTGAATGCTGTACCTATATTAGATAATTCTGGATATTTTCAGGAAAACATTATTATTTTATTGTAAAATAGTACTGAACAAGATCCCAAGTACAATTTATAATAGATATTTTAAAACCACAATGTTTCTAATCTTTACTTTATTATTCACTAGATTTCTAGTGGTATTATTGACATTTTTTTTTTAAATAAAATAATAATGTGTATATTTAATTTCAGGATAGACTTTTACCTGTCAAATGGTCAGAAAGAATGTCAACAGAAATCAATTTGCCAGATAATAAGAACTTCTATTCATTCAAGGAAATTGCAGTACCTGATGTCTACATTCCTCTAGATATAGTGACAGCATAATCATAAGAAGAACGAATATGTAAACTAATTATACCAAATATTGAGAATATTGTTTGTAACTTTTGAAAATAAATATTTTATGATTTTTTAGTGACTATTGTCATGTATATTAATATGTTTTAAGCGTTTTTTAAATTTTTTTTTTGAAGTTTTTCTTAGTTTTTTTTAAAGATGTTTTGAAGGTGTTTTAAAGGTTTTTTTAAAGTTTCTTTCAAGGTTTTTTTTAGAAGTTTCTTTAAAGGTTTTTCAAAGTTTTCTTTAATTTTTTTTTTCTTTAAGTTTGTTAATTTTTTTTTCTTCAAGTTTGAAGGTTTTTTTGTAGGTTTTTTTGAAGGAATTTTTTAATTTTTTTTTTATTTTTTTGAAAGTTTTTGTGAACGTGTTTTTGAAGGTTTTCAATTTTTTTTATAGGATTTTTTGAAGTTTCTTTCAAGGTTTTTTTTTTAAAGTTTTGTTTGAAGGTTTTTTAAGTTTTAAGTTTTTTTATTTATATTTATTTAATTAAGGGGTTTTAAAGTTTTTTTTTTTATTTTTCCAAAGATCTTTGAATTTTTTTTTAATTTTTTAGGTTTCTTTTAAAGTTTTCTTTAAATTTTTTTTTCAAGTTTTGTTAAAAAATTTTTTAAAGGTATTTTGGAAGGTTTCTTTAAAAGTTTTGAAGTTTTATAAAGGTTTTTTTAAAGTTTCTTTCAAGGATTTTTTTTTAGAAGTTTCTTTAAAGGTTTTTCAAAGTTTTCTTTAATTTTTTGTTCTTTATGTTTGTTAATTTTTTTCTTAAAGTTTGTTTGAAGGTTTTTTGTAGGTTTTTTGAAGGTATTTTAAGTTTTTTTTTTATTTTTTTTTTGAAAGTTTTTGTGAACGTGTTTGTGAAGGTTTTCGAAGTTTTTTTTGTAGTTTTTTTTTGAAGTTTCTTTCAAGGTTTTTTAAAGTTTTGTTTGACGGTTTAAAGGTATTTTGGAAGGTTTCTTTAAAAGTTTTGATGTTTTTTAAAGGTTTTTTTAAAGTTTCTTTCAAGGTTTTTTTTTTAGAAGTTTCTTTAATTTTTTTTTTCTTTAAGTTTGTTATTTTTTTTAATTTTGTTTAAAGTTTTTTTGAATGTATTTTTTAAGTCTTTTTCAAGTTTTTGTTAAAGTTTTTTTGAAGATTATTTTGAAGGTTTTTTAAGTTTTTTTTTTCAAGATGTTTCGAAGGTCTTTTAAAGGTTTTTTTTTTTAGTTTTTAGGTTTTTTGGAAGTTTTTTTTTAATTTTTTTTTCAAGTTTTGTTTGTTGAAGCTTTTTTAAGGGTATTTTGGAAAATTTATTTAAAAGTTTTGAAGTTTTTTAAAGTTTTGTTTGAAGGTTTATTGAAGGATTTTTGTTTTTTTCTTAAGGTTTTTTGAAGGTGCTTTGAAAGTTTTTTTTTAATTTCTTAGCTCTCTTTTGAAGTTTCTTTTAATTTTGTTTAAAGTTTTTTTGAATGTATTTTTTAAGGTTTGCTCAAGTTTTTGTTCAAGTCTTTTTTTTAAAGATTATTTGAAGGTGTTTTTTAAGGGTTTTAAGGGTTTTTTTGTAGGTTTTTTTTTTTTTTTTTTTTGTAGGTTTTTTTTTTTGTAGGTTTTTTTTTTGTAGTTTTTTTTTTTTTGTAGGGTTTTGAAGGTTTTTTTGAAAGGTTTTTGAAGGTCTTTTGATTTTTTTAAAGGTTTTTAAAAGTTTGTTTAAAGGTGTTTTTGAAAGTGATTTGAAGGTTTTTTCTTTAAGTTGTATGAAGTTTCTTTTGAAGGCTTTTTAAAGTTTGCTTAAAGGTGTTTTTTGATGGTATTTTTTTAAAGTTTTTTTGAAGGTGTTTTAAAGGTTTTTTGAAGTTTTTTAGAAGTTTTCTTTTGAAGTTTTTTGAAGGTATTTTTAAATGTTTTTCTAGTTTTTTTTTTGAAAGTTTTTAAAGGGTTTTTTTAATGTTTTATTGAAGGTTTTGAAGTATTTTTTAAAGTTTTTAAAATGGCTTTTTAAAAGTTTTTTTAAAAGGTTTTGAAGTTTTTATGAAGGTTTTTTAAAGTTTGTTTAAATGTGTTTTTGAAGGTGCTTTGAAAGTTTTTTTCTTTAAGTTGTTATGAAGGTTTCTTATGAAGGTTTTTAAAATTTTGATGGTATTTTTTAAGGGTTTTTTTGACGTGTGTTTTGACGTTTATTTTAAAGTTTTTTTTTTGTAGGTTTTTTTTTTTTTGTAATTTTTTTTTTGTAGGTTTTTCAAGGTTTTTTGAAAGGTTTTTGGAGATCTTTTGATTTTTTTTAAAGGTTTTGAAATTTTTAAAGTTTTTTTTTAAGTGTTTTAAAAGGTTTTGAAGTTTTTATGAACGTTTTTTTAAAGTTTGTTTAAAGATGTTTTTGAAGATGATTTGAAGGTTTTTTTCTTTAAGTTGTTATGAAGGTTTCTTTTGAAGGTTTTTTGAAGTTTTTTTTTTTTAAGTTTTTTGACGGTATTTTTTAAGATTTTTGAAGGTGTTTTAAAGGTTTTTTTGAAGTATTTTAGAAGTTTTATTTAGAATTTTTTTTGAAGGTATTTTTAAAGGTTTTGAAAGTTTTTAAAGGTTTTTTTTTTAATGTTTTATTGGAGGTTTTTAAGTTTTTTTTGTAGACGTTTTTTTAGAACGGGTTTCAAAGGTTTTTAAAAAAGAAAAACCAAATACGGAATAAAACTCGATTTATTTTTCCACATCAATATTTAAATATAGAAGTTAAGAAACTTATATTTACAATTATTTTTATGTCAACACATAAAATTAAAACATTGCATCAGTTTTTTCTTGGTTCTTATCAAATTAGCTTACATATCTTCCAGCAAAAAGTATTGCTCCTGAATTATTCTCTTTAATGTAATACAAGAATGGATAGTCAGCTGTGAAGGTAAAGTCAGGTCTTATAAGCGAAGTTGGCACAGCTTGAACTAAAAATAAAAAGAGAGAAATAAACGAAAGTTAGTGAAAATAAGAATCTAAACATTATTCAACTCATACCGAACTAGCCCCATGACCAGAGGACATTCAGCTAGAGGGTAAACAAACATTTAAAACGTGATCATGCTGTGTGCATGGAGCTAGTTCTGTTTCACGTTACTTGCGTTTAAGTTGAATAGATAGTAATATTTATATAAATATCTTTCAGTTTTGAGTTATTTGCCTTTTAGTCAGTACCTACTTAAGATAATAATATGAAGTGACAAAAAAACGTAAAAAAATGACGCATAAATGACAGTTTTAATTTAAGTAAGAGGCGTATTTAGTAATAGAGATAAAACACATTGTAAACGAAGAATTAAAATGATGGGAAACCTCTAGCTTATTTCAATTTAAATCGCCGGGTTCTGGCAGTATATATCCAGCTCTACTTCAACGGGATCTAGAAGAACTCATACCACAAGTTAACAGACTATTTTCAATGATCATAACAATAAAAAACTCTCATGATTAATTTATACTCACCACCGGTTGCTGCTGCGGCTTCCACTCCAGTCTCCGTAACTTCAATAAAAGTTTTTTGTGGAATAGCATCGACTTGAAGATTTTGTTTTGAAGATATGCCTGATAAATCGGCTCCACTGGTAAATACTTTTTGAATTCCCATCTACAAAATAAAATTAATAATGTTTATTGATATCGATAATAATACCTGCATAAGACTATTTCTTAAGTTTTCTTTAATTTTTTTCTTTAAGTTTGTATAAAGGGTTTTTGTAGGTTATTTAAAGGTATTTTAAGTTTTTTTTTTTAATTTTTTGATGGTTTTTGTAAATGTATTTTTGAAGGTTTTTTTAATTTTTTTTTTGTAGATTTTTTAAAGGTTTTTTTGTAGTTTTTTTTTATAGCTTTTTTAAGGTTTTGAAGTTTTTTTTTATTTTTAAAGGGTTTTTTAAGTTTTCTTTTAAGTTTTTTTTTTTAAGTTTTGTTTGAAGGTTTTTGAAGAATTTTTAAGGTTTTTTTTTAACGGTTTTTTTAAGTAGTTTTATAAAAAATAAACAGAAATGTTATAATTCTTACATTTTTAAATACAGGAACTAAATCAATCGTAGTTTCTTCTTTGAATTTAGGTATTGATATTTAAACATTGCCAGTATCCAAGGTCTTTTAAAGTTTTTTCTATTTTTTAAAATTTTTTTTTAAGGTTTCTTAAGCTTTCTTTGTTTGATTTTTAAGGTATTTTAAGTTTCTTTCTTCTTCAATTTTTTGAAGGCTTTTTAGTTATTTTTTTGATCCTTTGCAAGTTTTTTCTTAAGGTTTTTTTGAGTGTTTTAAAAGTTTTTTTATTTTTTTAGTAGTTTTCTTTTGAAGTTTCCTTTAAGGTTTTTTTAGGTTTTTTTGAATGTTTTTTAAATTGTTATTGAAGGTTTTTGAAGGTAGTTTTCTTTAATTTTTTCTTTAAGTCTGTTTGAAGGTTTTTTGTAGTTTTTTTTGTAGGTTTTTTGTAGGTTTTTTTTTGTAGGTTTTTTGTAGGTTTTTTTTGTAGGTTATTTTAAGGTATTTTAATTTTTAATTTTTTTTTTTTTGAAGTTTCTTTTAAAAGTTTTGTTTGAAGGTTTTTTGAAGGATTTTTAAGTTTTCTTTAAGTTTTTTTTTTGAAGGGTTTTTAAGTTTTTTTTTTAAGTAGTTTTAGAAAAAATAAACAGAAATGTCATAATTCTTACCTTTTTAAATACAGGAACTAAATCAATCGTGGTTTCATCTTTGAATTAAGGTATTGATATTTCAACATTATCAGTGTCCAAGGTTTTTTTTTTAAAAGATTTTTTTAAGTTTTTTTTGTGACGTTTTTTAAAGGTCTTTTTAAAGTTTTTTTAAGGTTGTTTTTTTGAAGATGTTTTGAAAGTTTTTTAAAATTTTTTACAAGGTTTCTTAGGTTTTCTTTAATTTTTGTTTTTTTTTTTATATAGTTTTTTTTTGGTAGGTTATTTAAAGGTATTTTAAGTTTTTTTTTTTATTTTTTTGAAGTTTCTTTTAAGGTTTTTTGAAGGTTTTTTAAATTGTTTTTGTAAATGTGTTTTTAAAGGTTTTTAGTTATTTTCTGTAGGTGTTTTTTAAGTTTTTCTTTCAAGTTTTTTTTTTGTTTTTCAAAGATTTTTTAAGGGTTTTTTGCGAAGTTTTTTTTTAAGGTCTTTTTAAAGTTTTTTTTCTTAACATTTTTTTTTGAAGGTGTTTTGAAAGTTTTTTTTTTTAATTTTTTACAAGGTTTATTTTGAAATTTCTTCTAAGGTTTCTTAAACGATTTTTTTATAGTAGGTTTTTTAAAGATATTTTTTGAAGGTTTTTGAAGGTCTTTTTTTGAAGATTTCTTAGGTTTTTCTTTATTTTTTTTTAAAGTTTATTTGAAGGTTTTTTTGTAGGTTATTTGAAGATATTTTAAGTTTTTTTTTTAATTTTTTTTGGAGGTTTTTGGAAATGTGTTTTTGAAGGTTTTTTAGTTTATTTGTAGATTTTTTTTGAAGATTTTCTTGTAGTTTTTTTTTGTAGATTTTTCAAGGTTTTGAAACTTTTTTTTAAGTTTTTTTTTAAGGGTTTTTTTGAAGTTTCTTTTAAAAGTTTTGTTTGAAGGTTTTTTGAAGGATTAAGGTTTTTTTTTGAAGGGTTTTTAAAGTTTTTTTCAAGTAGTTTTAGAAAAAATAAACAGAAATGTCATAATTCTTACCTTTTTAAATACAGGAACTAAATCAATCGTAGTTTCTTCTTTGAATTTAGGTATTGATATTTGAACATTGCCAGTATACATAGGACTAAGTTCTGATACACCTTCGAAAGTATCTTCCAATTTCTTTAGTCCATTTCTGTCGTTAGGTAAAACGAATGTCATACTGATATTTCCACCTTGGAAGTCTAACTCGAGGAATTTAGCTTGGTGGCGACGACATGGTCTGTACTTGGCTTGGAATGTACCTTGTAAAAATTTGATCTGAAAGACATTTTTTTAATTTTAAAAACAGAACGATTGCAGTAATAATTATACAAGGTGTTGCAGAATATAGTACCGTAAATAGAGGGACTTGTCGATTTTAATTAATTGGTAACAAAAGCGAGAATGTGAGAATAAGAGGCGAAATAAAATTAAAAAGAATGCGTCCAAAGGAAACTGTTCGAATTTAAACAGTTTCGAAAAGAGAAAATTTAGATTAATTCTCTATGGCCCATTGAATTGTAAGAACTCTTTTGTCTGTACTCTATGGCGCACTGACCGCCAATCAAAGCGAAGCGATTGTCCATAGCATTTTTGCTAAGAACAGGCGTGAGGGTCTTGTCCTTGACTTAAAAAAGGTGACATCGACGCCGGCATACTGTCGAAGTTGTACAGCCCCGGACAAATTTCTTTAGCAACTGACCAACTAATTTCCGATCGGAATTCCACGTCCAACCTCTTCATCGTGGTTTCAAGGTTCTATCATGACAGGTGTTCCTTCTTCCATAGTTTCTTAGCGCCGTGCTACTATAATGGTTTCATTTCTGCTAGTTATCTCCACTGTATCCTCCTGCACAGCAACTGGCACGGTATTGTCCCTATATGGATGTAGGAATACCTCTTTAGCATCAACTTTCATCACTCTGTTCTTAAAATTCAACTAGAACCTATGTAAGTTCATTACATCCATCATATTTTCTTCGACCAAAACAAAGAAGCAGGCAAAATCGCAAAAGCAAGTCTATCTAAAGATAGCATAAATTTTAAAGAAACAGACTATAAAGATCTATTCCTAGTAATTAAAAAAATTATGAGGGATTTGTGGAATGAAGAATGGATCGAAATATGTAGAAGGAACGAAAAACAGTTATTCAAATTAAAAGATGAAATTCCATACAAATCTTGGTTTTGTTAGGAAAAACTTAACAGACCAAGAATTGCCATGATTACTAATAAAGTGGCATAACTCGAAATTTGCTTTTTAAACCTTTAATAGTATAACGGCCCAAAATGGCGCTCTCCATATGTAGAGCTTTTCAAATGACGGTATTACTCCAAGACAGAACGTCTTAGCGTTGGAGTAGCACCGTCATTTAAAAAGCTCTATATATAGAGGGCGCCATTTTGGGCAGTTTTAGGTTTAAAAGTTTAAACATGCAAATTTTGAGTTATGCCACTTTATTACTAAGGGTGCGATGTGTAGAATGAGGTTTGGACATTGTGGTACTCAAGAACATCTCCATAGAATTGGTGTTGTAGATTCACCTCTGTGCTCGTGCGGGGAAGTGGGTAGTTTGTAACATACATTATTAGAATGCAACAACATTAACTTTGACATTAGAAATACATTTTATTTTATTATAATTAATTGCCTGTGTAGTGGTAGTCCAGCTTTAAGCTTGGAGTGCATGCTTAGTAACCAAAGAGCTGAAAGTGTTTCCCTAATATTTGCATTTGTAAGAAAATAATTAATAACATGAAATTCCAGATATCTGGAAGGGGTCATGACCTTGAGTCAGACGCGATGATAATCGCAACTCTGGACCAATCAGGTTGAATACTATGGAGATGACATGCCAAAAAAAAAACGACACATCTTCCCCCTCTCTTAGTGGTCATGTCATAGTTGTCAAAGAGCTGTCAGAACATCGTTCAAATTTAAATATTTCGACGTTATTTCTATCTTAATAAGTGTTTTTTCTTTTTGATTAATTTGTATAAAAATCATGACTAAGTGTGCCAAAATTAATTGTAAAAACTCTTCAGTGAAAGAGCGTAAGAAAATATCTAATTTGTTTTCATAAGTAAGTATAAGGAGTGTACTTAGAATTTTTTTTAGAATGTAACTTTTTTTTTATTATAGGATTCCAAAAGACCCACAATATCTTAAAATTTGGTCTAAATTTGTGGGAAAATACCAATTTGAGCCTAAACCGAATAGCATGTTAAGCTCTATTCACTTCAAGGAAGAATTTTTTATAAATGAATGTTTAGTTAGTATACACTTTATTTACAATAAAACTTAAATAACTAACTTAATAAAGAACATTGGCTTGACTAACTTTATAATAAAGACAAATAACTATATTAAAACTTAGATAACTATAATAAAACTTAAATAACTAACTTTATAATAAAACTTTAAAACCAACTATAATTAAACTTAAAAACCAACTTATAATTATATTTAAATGAGTAACTTTTTAAGTAACACATAATTTAGAATAAAATGTCAAGTATTTAAAAGCAGTTTTTATTAGATCCTAATTTCATATTATTATACCGTTTTGATAATGAATATACTGTATAATAATAAATACTGCTGATGTATTTTTATTATTTAATTAGATTTGTGGCCATCACTCACTGCTATGTACCTCCTCATCCTCATGATATAAAATAATATGCCCGCTCATGTACCACATTACAATTATTATTAATATTAAATGAACAAACATTAAATTGATGTTCCTTAATTTAAAAACCTGCCGACTTTGTTCACAATACACAATAAATATAATTTAAAACATATTACGAAGTTAATGATATTTAAAAATTAGTAGTTTTGGAACTTAAACTAGTAGTTTTTGTATCATGGATCTATATTTAAGGCTTTATAACATACCAAATCTTGTTCCAGACTAACCCATCCATACCTACACCTCCTCCTATGTTAGTATCCGACTAACATATCTCACTAAAACTAGAGTTAATAAAGCTGCTAGCATAAGACATCAAAACAACAAAATAGTGTTGTTTAAAGGTCAATAAATATTTTTTTATATAATAATTTTTTTTTGTAGTGTCTTATTAAGAATGGGACACAGAAAAACTGAAGAGTTACCTATAATTTTACCAAATTTGGTAAAAGTTTTTGGTGTCATAAGATACGATACACTTATTTGAACTATAATTATATATTTTTTGATGTTTTTTAAGTACATCATATAGGTACTTTCGTTGGAAACTTATAAGAAACTTCAAAATTAAAATGAAGAATATTCGCATTCTAAGCCTAGTCTTATTTTTAATCAGACTCTTCAGTTGTTCTGTATCCCTTTCTCAATGAGACACCTTGTATATAAACTCACTTGAACAATTTTATATTTTTCAAGTATGTACAATACAGGTGAATCAGAAATTAAAGCAAAAAGACAACTTATAACAAAGGTTTAAATTTAGTAATGTCACGTCATCCTTGCACCCTAAAAAAGTACCAATGAAGAAATTATTCCTCCTATGCAACTAAACAGTTATTTTTAGGATAAGATTTTGTGTCAAATGTTATCCACAGCCACAGGGTTTCTTTTTAAATGGCATGACATTCAAAATTTTGGTCAAAACAATTTTCATCATGCACTTTTCTTGGAAATCCACAATTCTTTATTAGGATTAAAAGCACCAGTTTCTAGAAACTTTTTCACTATAACACTAACATTACTGATCAGAAAAAGTGGTTAGTTTTCTTTTTGTAATCACAAATCGCAACTGAATGCCTATTTTTAAAATAAATTATCTCTATAATTCCATTTGTATAGTTGTATGCTGTGCATCTGTGATATTGTTGTTTATTATACATAGGTATCAATTATAGAAATCTTTAGTAAGTACTTGCTTGCAATTTTAGTAATATATGTACCTACCCTATATAATTAATTATTTCAAACATAAATAAAACCAACAACTATTATCTGAGTCTTTTTAGTTCCGATTGGTTTTGACAGAGTAGTTTTGATCATAGTTTTCTTTCATCTACTTTTGACCATAAAGTCATACCTAGCTGAATTTTTGGTCTTTTTAAACTTTTGACTGTAGCGGGTCATATTTTTAATGTATGTCATCTGCAGCAGAAAGACCTACATGTTTTACATTTAAAAGTAATTAATAGTGGACTTCTATACAAGGGAAGTGCAACCAACTAAACAAAATAAAATTGACACTAATGACATAAGAAATCGGGTCACATAAAGAGGCTGTTTATTAGTTTACTGTTTGGTTTTTCTTGTATACTTTAATGCCATTTACATACCATGTTATACCCGTAAGGTAAAAACGACTTTTTAGTTTAGGGTATTTTACATTTAAAGGTTGAAAAAATTTGTCAGTGTCAGCTGTCAATTATGGTGATGATAGAACACAGGCCCAGTATAAAGAATAATACAGTAGCGACAGATCATTTTTTATGAGGTGTCCATATTTTTCTGCGCATGTCCGAAAATAAGCGACAAAAACGTCAACGTCAATAGTGTCAATGCAATGTAAATATGACATTATTTTTGTTTGTTTGCAGTGTATATTTTGAGACATTTTTATTATTTTAGTTTTTCATTTATTGTGTGATATTTTTGAAATGGCTTCTGCACCTGATCAGAAAAAAAAGAGATGTGTCTATCGCCCTTGTCCATCTCAAACAGAGTAAACAGACAAAGGGACAAGTTATTTTGCATTTCCCATGGAGCCATAAAGGTATGTCTTGAGAAAATACTTTCAATTTTTATATTTGAAAACCAAATATTTATTTGACAACCAAATATTTATTATTTAAATGTCTTGAGGACAATTTTTACAATTTCAACAAAAATAATGTAAAAAATATATAATTTCTGAACTACCGTCAATCTAAACATTTGTTATCAACTTTTTTATATTTTAGGGCCAACATGTGGTTAAGAGCTTGTAATAGGGAAGATTTGAGTAACATATTTGTGAACAGTCTTCATCGGAATTACAGGTTGTGTGAGAAACATTTTGAGAAGAATTTTTTTTCTAAAACGTTGAACCGTAAACGTTTATTGCCTACTGCTGTTCCCACATTTTTTATCCATCTAGGTCATCAGCCAAATGTATATCTTCTCCCTAGTACATCGACCAAGTGCTTCCTCTGTTGAGACTATCATTGAACATGAACGAGACATTTTTGAAAGCGTACCATGTGCAACCTTTGGACATTCTTAATCAAAAATCCTACCTCCAAATTATTATAATGAATTAGATGTTCT